CAATTATTTTGAAAAGGGGTCGGTTTTTGCAATTAAATGTGTAAAAGGGTTGTTTTTGAAAATTTGTCCTTCTTTTTTTTTCTTTTTTCAAGTACGTCTACAATTTATAATATAGTTAGCATTATCCGTAAATCACAGAGTATGATGGATGAGGTTCAATTCCCACCGGTACCCGAACAACAATTATCGGGTTCGGGTTCTTATGTAGGGACACCGACACGACTCGTCACAGGAGCCAAAACCAAGCGGATGCCGTTTTCGGACCCGTTACCAAAACCAACGGCATTTAGCTAGAGTGTGGTGACACTTGGACTCGTATTTGCACAAAGTTGCTTATGAGAACAAAAGATATGCAAAGATTTGCTCATTTAGCTCACCACCTCTTATTGCATTTGGACTAAATATTTTTTAGTGGAAAGATTGCATCTACATTCAAGTTGAGCCGTGTGATCCCCCCCTTTTTCCTTGTGGTATAGGCTTCAATCTCATCAAATCTATCAAGGTAATTGTTAATTAGATTTTATTTTTTTTAAGTATAGATTTGTAACACATTTGATTTTGTGGCAACTTGGTAACTAAATGAAATTTTTTTTTTTTTTTTTGTAGAAAAATGTCGAACAAAAGAGAAATATCGATGGCGATAGGAGCAAACGGGACTCTTTGCACGATATGTTTGGAGAATGTGGAGATCAATGGGAGTAGATCAATTGCTAGATTGCAATGCGATCATCTCTTCCACCTTGGTAACTAATTAAAATAAAGCAAAAAATTTTAAGTACTCTTTGTCTAGCTTTCTGTTAGTTTTAGTTACATTTGTTGTTGATTATTAATTTGGTGCGTGATTGTATCCTAATAGTAGATTCTTTAAACTTTTCACTTCATATTGTATATTAGAATTTCTTGACTGAAATATTGTCCGAATGTATCATATATAGACACTAGATGAGTTAACAGCTCATTTAGCAAAATAAGGAAATTGTCGGTTCATTTAGTAGAATGAACAAATTGAGCAGGTGTCTAATGCCCAATTTATTTGGGTAGTTTTGTAAGTTTGATCGGTTCATTTTCGTCTATTAAGATTCATCACCGTCACTAGTGTGCATCATTGACCCAAATCCCCTCAAAATTCACCGCATACGAGCAAAATGTTCTGATCCCTTCATCTGGGGATGATTGAATCTAAGCCATCCATCAACAATTATATCAATGATTTGAGATTCAACCGACCCAAAGTCAGGTGATCAGAACACCCCACTTATTCTAATGACGAGCCGAGTCTAACCATGAAGTTCATAAGATCTTCTCGTATCAACTCAACTCTTCGTGCAGATCACTTGTGCCCAATTGGTATTAGTACGTCTTTGGTCAATCTGAGGCCGCTACTATTTTTGAAGTGGAATTTAAACAAACTTTAAATAAACAGATAAATACATCTAAAAATGTTTCAGCTCGAGCGGCTAGGCTTCAAGAGAGGAGGAGGAAAAGGAACGCTGAAGGAATACAAGCTGCTGGAGATTCTAGAAGAGAGAGAACATGAGCCTTGTGACTAGGGTGATCTAGTTAGAATGATTCTCAACATCATTATATACACGGTGTTGATTTTAAAACTATGTTGGATTGTGAAACTTCTTTACTTTTTGGTTTAGTAGAAGTAGATAAGTTTATCTCCTTTGTGGGGAGATATATAGCTTGGTGCAGAGATATGATTCTCCTTATTTTGTAGTGTTTTGTATAAACTCTTGTGCGCATTCTTTGGTTGGGCATGTGTGCGTATTATGTAATAGTTTTTTTTTGTTAATTTAGCTGACTGGATTATCTTTATGATAATCCATCCTTTTTCTAAAAAAAATAAATAAATAAACAGATAAATACTAAGATGTTTGAGGTGGGCCTACATGGTGTTAGTGGGCTTAGTTGGCGAAACTGTTTGAGTCCAGTCAGGGGTTTGAGAGGTTATTGGGCTGTATATAAAGCAGAGAAATCTTTTCGAAATGGCCGTTCTTTTATCCCGCTTCAACCGGCACGCTCGTTGAGAGGGTTGCACGTTTCTGCCTCTTTCAAGCATTTGATCGAGCACCTCATGGGCGCTTTCGTCTTGTGCTCTAATGGAGCTCTGGTAAGCATAATCTTCTTATGATCCTGATCAACTCTCACTAGCTTCCAATTGTTTTCGCTCTTTTGTATGGTACCTCTTGCAGCAGTGAATGCTCTCTCCTTGATTGTGCAGAGTATGGAGAGTTTCTTGTTTGCCACAAGTTGATAATTTTGTTGGGTTTTTTTTTGGGGGGTGAGGGGTTAGTTGTGGTAATCTCAGTATTACGGTGTCTAGTTGACATTTTTGGGTCAAATGGATAACTCAGAAATGATTTGCATAAGAAGTTTGTTTGTGACAATTCTTATGCAAATCTAGACTTACTGCACAAGAGTGTTGCTACATATACTTTAAATATCATGCTACTTTGGTACTTGGTGATATAACCATGTGCTATTTTTGGAATAAGATTAAGTCTTGTAGTATCGAAATAGTAAGATTTATAGAAAAATTGGCGTCGCTTTTTTTTCGTGCCTTGCCAAGATGTCGAACGATATTAGCAATTACTACTTGACGTTAGATGCACATACGATCTACGTCTCTCCTTTTTTAGCGCGGAGTGCTGGATTAAAAGAACTTTCTCTTATTTGGATTAAATTAGATATTGGTAGTGGTGTATCAACCAGGTTTTGGATTGATCATTTGGTGAAACATATTCTCTTGCTACAATCTTTCCGGACTAGTTTCGCATTTCTATGGACTAAGGATCACACAACTAAGGTTTTCCTCTCAAAGTTTGCGGATGATGGATGGTTAATTTTGGACTCCTTTATTTTCGGAGATGGATTCACCCTATCTTCTTCAACGCCTTCAGGAACTTTTGAACATTCTCCAACCACATCTGCTAGATAATCATGAGGACAAAAGAAGTTGTAAGCTCTCTAATAACGACGGCTTTTTGGTCTCTCTCTATCATGCTCGGAGCAATCACCCACCTAACCTTGGTCTATCCATTTTTGCTACCTATGGTCTGTGGGCTCATTCATGATTTGTTATCATAACCTATGTGTTATATTTTGGAAGATAATTAGGGCTTGTAGTACCAAAATAGTTAAGAGATTTACCGTATATTTAGCATTGCAGTTTTGCACCTTGCCGAGGTGCGAATAATATTAGCAACTATAGCTCAAAGCGAGGCACTCATATGATAGAAGGAGACACGTATGATCTATCCTTCATTCCTTCTATCATGACCACCTCTCTCCTTTTTGGCTCAGAGCTCTAAAGTTGGTCACAATTTTCTCCACAAGGATAAACATAGATATTGGTAATGGTGGATCGACAAGGATTTTTCTCAAACATTGGGTGGAAACCAGTTCTCTTGCTACAATCTTTTCATACTTGTTTGACTTCGCTATAGATTGTACAATTATAATTATCTGGATGATGGATAATTGATTTTGAACTCCTTCGTTTTCGATGATGGATTCCCCTATTTTCTTTCATGTCCTCATGAACTTTTGAATCTTCTTCAACCTTAAGTCTTCTTCAACCACAAATCTTCTTCAATCACACGTCTAGATAATCATGAAGACAAGAATTTGGAAGCTCACTAATGATGCCAAGTTTTTAATTTTCTTTCTGTATCATGTCCTAAGCAATCACCGACCCAAATCTATCCATTTTGGTACTCAGTGGTCTTTGGTCTCTCTCACTCATGATTTACAATCAAGATGTATATGTGTTCTATTTTTCAAAGAGGTGTAAGTCTTGTAGTACCAAAATAGCAAGAGATTTATACTAAATTTAGCTCTTTTTTTAGTGTCGAACAATATTAGCAACTACATGCAAGACGAACATATAATGGAGGACACATGTATTGAAGACCATGTTTCTCCTTTCTGGCACAAAGTTCTAGAGATAACTTTCTCTTCTATATATATACTGGTAGTTGTTAATTAACAAGTTTTTGTCGTATCATTTGGCTGGAACAAATTCTCTTGCTGCGAGTTTTGGCAACTTATTTCGCTTTCCTATGAATCACACAACTATGTTTATCTCTCAAAGTTCGTGGATGATGGATAATTGGTTTTTGACTCCATTTTGAAGATAGATTTCCTTATATTCTCTAACGTGACATGTCTTTGTAGGCGTCAAAAAATGCTTACAGACATTCAAACACCACTCAAGACGATATAGAAGAATAATATACA